CCCTCACCCATCCCTCCCTCCCTCCCCCTCTCCCCTTAAACCCACTAATATTGGGGTATTGATTATAAAAGAAGAAGCTATACAGTACATAGTGTCCACTGTCCTCAGTAACCAACAGGTTGATAAACGCACGACTAACCAACGACACCTAAAAACAAGAATAAATAATACATTTAAGAGTTATATTGTACATGTAAGTTGCAGCATGTAATCTGCATTTCATGTAAATACATGTAATCCTTTGTATGTACTTAATAACAATATTATAAACATTGTATGGTTGTTATTATAATGAATATTGAAAACAATAAGTGAAAATAACTTCTTGCCTGGTTCTCTGTCATTCTCTTGTTGAGTTGAATACCAAAAGTGAGCAAAGAAGAAAGGAAAGCATAATAATAGGAGGACACACCAGTATAGGGTGAAACACTGGGAGAGAGAGAAGAGAACAATATTATCATCATTATGATGATAATGATTAGATTAATACATTTCCATTTACCATTAAGCTATTATTTGGTCGGTTACTATTGTCCATTATTATCCTAATGTTAGTATTTTATTTCTTTTTTATTGAAGAGAGGCCACAGTGTGTAGAATGTTCCAGAATATTTTGACTCAATTTATTACAGCAGTCAATGAGAGCCTGTTTCTCCCTAGTACACTTATCCTCCTGGTAATTATTACCTGTTAATAAAGGAATATTAATTTATTATGAAGTATACTGACCTTGCAGGCAGTATTGAATGGCGCAAGCTTCTTTCTGACACAATTTTTCAGCTAATCTTTATCCGAGACTTTATCTCATCCGTGGCCATGCGATTGTGGGCGTAGCTTGTACATACCGCCATGTTGAGGGTTAAAGATCTCGTACATAGCCCCGCCCTAAAACGAGCTCCTCCATTTCATTCCTTTCCAAAGCTTGCATGTTGCATCCGGTGAAGCTTGTAATGGCAACTAAACCCTCGACTAAAGCTTCTCTGAGTCTCTTCTCTTCTCCTTTGACTATTGGTAATGTTCATTAACTATCTATGTATCATTGAATATGATTTTAGATCAACTTATTGATGTACTTAATCTGTTGAAGAGATGTGGTTTCCCTCAGAGGAGATGGAAGGAACTAGGACTGACACTAGGACTACACAAGAACACACTGGACATCATTAAAAGGGACAATGATACAACCTATGAGTGTTTAACTGAATGCCTCTCCCAGTGGTTGTCCGGAGCTGATAATGTTGGCAGTAAAGGAGGAGCTACCTTTGACTCACTGTCAGATGCTCTTAAATCTATGAATGAGAATACTGCAGCTAACAAGTTAGATCAAGAGAGTAAGTTAATATCACTGATTGTATTAGTATTGACTCTGTGTGTGTATTCTTTATCTAGAACATAGTGCATGTTCAGCACTGGCTATTGATATATTCAACACTCATCATCCACTCCTCTCTCAGTCTCTCTCTGATCCTGTCAATGTATCTATTATGCTTCAAAGAGAGGGTGTCATAACAGGACAAGTATTGGCTAGTGTGGAATCAGCTAGTCCCTCTGTTCCTAATCAACGTGAAGTCTTGTTAGCTGCCATTAGAGTAGCTATTGAAAGCAAGTATAGTTTACTACAAACATTTGCTAGTGTGTTGTGCAAGTTCACTGGTAATGTAAAACTAGGAACAGCTATACAAAGAAGTCATGGTAAGTGTTTTTATCATTTATATATATAGTATTTAGAATTTCTCAAGATGAAGCATTTCATAATGACAATCA